AATTGGAGTTTTCACGGGCCACACATTCTGCAGATTCTACTCTCCCTTATAAGAATTGGTCAGGCTGCAGCCACTGCTTTTTCAGGAGGCAAGCTAATGATCTAGTGCTTTCTTGCCTGTCGAGGTTAATAGATAACTAATATATTTTAGCACATTCATTATAGGCAGTTTTTCACCAAGAAAAAAATTGCACATTTGGGTCTTCTGCTTGACAAATGTGATGCTACATCTTGAAAGTTGACTAAAATCAATACCTCTGTGGGAAATTACATACAAAATGTATTAGTACCTGGGATGTTTTGATAAGAATGCCTCTCACTCTCTGTCATCACCCCTAACACACAACACACCAAAATCATGCTAAAATTGAATATGGATATTCAGGAGGAATTTGTAGTGCTTTTTTTTCAACTAACAATTAATTAAAATTACTCATCAATTAAACCATCATTTGTAAAAGTTCAATGTCAGTTGTGTTTGGAGAGTGGTGACTAACTAATGGGTAATTGTAAGAACTTTCAAACATCCTGAAGTCAGGTGTCAAAATTTTAGAAGGCTACCCAAACTTCAATGGCATAAACTTTTTCAATTTAAAAGATATGTATTTTTTAAACTATTCTTCCAAACTACCAATTCCAGTAGACTGGGAAAAAAAAATTACCTGTGCTAATGAATAAGTACATCATGGTTTCACTATAGCATCCAGCATACTTCCTCACCTTCTTATTTCCCATCTTATCTTCTGATTCTCTCTTGCAACTTCATTTATTTATCACACGGAGGACCTCACATTTCTCATGAAAAGTTAAGCCTTTTGCAAACAGTTTTGCCTAAAAAAAATCCTCATCTGTCTTTTCTGGGAGCTCACATGTTGCATAACCAACATTCTAGTTACTAATGGCTCTGTAACCGCCCTGAAACTCAGAAACCTAAAGCAATCACAGTTTCTGTTGGTCAGGGATTTGCACAGGGCCCAGGAGGAATTGCTTGCCTCTGCTCTCAGGCATCTCAGACCCAAAGACTCAAAAGCTGGGATAAGCCCAAGACTGACTGCTGGAATCTACTGGAAACCTCATTATTCACATGGAGTAGAAGCTGGTGTTGCCTGAGACCTCCTTTGGGACGAAGGTCCTGAGGTATTAAGATTTTTTAACATGGTGACTCAAGACTCCAAACCTGAATCCTTCAGGAGGTAAAGCAAAATTTTTTTTCTCTACCCTGTTATGTTATGTGGCAAGGCCTGTGAGGCAAACTGTCAAAAAAAAAAAAAAAAACAGATTAACAGAAGAAAAATATACAAATTTTGTTTAATGCTAATATTTTATGTACTTGAAGACTTAATAGAAAATGTGGGGTGGGGGAAATAGCTAGATTCTGGAGCATAGATCCCATTTAACAAAGGGCAAAAAAAAATGTAGAGAAGTGACTAGATAAAGGAAGGGTGGCGGAGGCTTCTAAGAGCAGTAAATTATAGGAAAGAAAACATGTGGAGGAAACTTATTGTAAATAAGAATTATTTAGTAAGACTTGTTGGTGTGGACTCCTCTCCATGCTGTTGCTATCTCAATTGATAGGGGTCTTCTCTTTAGTACAAAAGAAGGGGGGGGACTTTCACAAGGGAAGTTTATATCCTGTTTTTAGGAATTACCTTTTCTTACTTTCAGCTCAAAATAATCCATATGCCAATGAGGTATATTTGAAGAAGCATCTTCCAATCCCCATCAACATCTCTGTTCTTCTTTGAAATCACTCAGCTTCACCTCCTCTACATTATATTGGTTATTTGTCACCAAAAAGGGGAAAGGATGAAAGGCCCGTATTGTTGATGCTACTTGATATTGGTGTCATGCATTTGGCTCCTAAAGAGCAGAAGAAAAGAAGAAAGAGGAGACAGATCCAATATCATAGAATACACAGTAGACTTTAGATTAAGGATATCTAATAAGCCATCTTAATTGATTTGACTTGCTGCAGTATCTTATCTCCTTCAGCCTCTGATAAAATCTTCTGTCAACTGAAAGACATAGGAGAGTGTTTTTTCGGTGGAACAGTATGAGTTCCACATCTGGGTGGAAGCTGAAAACAATGTCAATCTTAAAATTGGAATGAAACAGAGAAAAAACAGAGAACAAGCATTCAGTGGAGGAAGAAGTGTTGGAAATGGCCACAGAATGCTAAACCTCCACAGATCTGTAGACATTTGAGGAAGGACTTTGGACTTTATACTGGCAAAGAAGAGTGAAATGCACAAATCTTAGCCAGATCTTAAGGGGCCGTGCCACCCCAATTGAAAACACAATTACATGTGTCTTAAGGTTCACAATGTCCTGCAAAATAAATATAAGTAAATATTATTATCCCAATTTTACAGAAGAGGACACACAACCATGGAGGATCAGTAAGTGTCAGGAGTAGAATTCAAGCTCAGATCTGCCTGACCCGGGATCTGGCTCTTTTCACCTTCCCTCCACCTGCATTCCCCAGCACTCATTGGAAGAGTTGTTGCTCCATGCTCTTGGTCCCCATGATAATTTGGGGTTTTGTTGGTTGGTTGGTTGGTTGGTTCAGTGTTTTTGTGGGTTGGTTTCTTCACTTTTTGGTTTTTATCTCTCTACATCTGTTCTTCCCATCTGAGGGGTAATTCATCCTCTTCTGTGACTATCTCCCTTTTGAGGTTGAGCTCTGGGACAGCAAGAAACATCCTTGGTGCATTCTCCCCATTTAATGTTGTCCGCCACAAGTAGACAATCGATAAAGGTCTTGGGTTCATTTAGTCCTCTAAGCATTAGCATTTCCTGAACATTCACAAGTGTTCAAGACAAGGGATCAGGGGCCCTCTGAAGCTACAGCTATAACAAAAAGGGCTGAGAAAGCAAATCAGCCTCATCCTACAGATGAGGCTGAGAGGAAATGCCTTTCCTATAACAGGGTATGAAGCTATACACACAAGTGATTAACCAATAAACAGATGTTGCTTATCATTGGTACGAGACAGATTTTTCTTAAAAATCCTAGAGAAACAAGTTAAATACTTTAATGGGTATGTGTTTTTCCTGATAGGTCATGTATCCTTAGCTTATACTTCTTGTTAAAAGGCATTTTTCCAAAATTATGTTGTATTAGAAAAATTTAAATTATGAGTATATTCCAGTTGATATCCTTAATAATGTTAGTCATCAGGAAATATCATTAATTTGAATATGGTAACATGGAACCATATGGCACAGCTGACTCAGCAACACAATTTAACATCACAATAGTTGGTTCTCCCATTTGTTGTTATCACTAGCAGGCCACCCTAGCTTGCACTTGATCATCATTCTCTCCTTTATTCATATCCTGCTTCCAAAATAATTCTGCCTCCAAGTTCCCTGCATCTATTTTTTTTTTTTTTTTTTTTTGGTGGTCGTGGTGGTACCAGGAATTGAACTCAGGGGACACTCGACCATTGAGCCACATCCCCTGCCCTATTTTGTATTTATTTAGAGACAGGGTCTCACTGGATTGCTTAGCACCTCGTTTTTGCTGAAGCTGGCTTTGAACTCCTGATCCCCCGTCTCAGCCTCCCACACCACCACACCCAGCCCCATGCTAATCTTACTCTAAACCACTCTCCTGTCTCTGATGCAAATTACTTCTCCTGACTAAAGTTAGGTACTTCACTCAAACTATAAATTGAGCCCAATCACAGCCTGATTGTATGGCCCAATCTCGGTAGACTCCTCCCGGTTCAGGAACCCATCCCTCCACAGCTGGGATCTCATCAGATTAATCCCACCAGGGAGAAGGCAGCTTTCTCCTCAGAAGGTGCTTGCTACAGACAGTTCAGGAACAAATCAACACTTCCTATGCAAAGACGTGAATATTCAGTGGCTAGTTTATCCCCTTCCCCATTAAGCATGTTTATAATTCCATCTGCAGAAACTACAAGTAAGCTGAATTAACATGCATTACCTGATACTATTGTTCCATTTTCCTCTGTTAACAAAGACTAGAATTTAACATCCAAGAATATCTCAGCACAGATGCTCAAATTGAATATGTACTTTCTTAGGAATAAAGAAATGGCCTACATGTTCCTAAAGGTAAGTCATAATAAGGGGGGAAATGATTAATGAAAATGTACAGAGGTAACTAAGACAGAAAAAAGGCATTTCTATATTTAAAGGAAGCTGAAAAACAAAATAGGATGAAGACATTAATAAAGAGCTTCCTGTACGGTTATCAATAAAAATATTTTTCATAGAAATTAGTGGCATTTCGAATGGCTTTTTATTAATAGTTGTACTTTTCATTTCCTAAATCAATGAGTCCTAAATTGGAAGTTAGCAGCCATTGAGTCTGCAGTTCAGGTAACTTTTGGAGATAAGTAATTAAAATAAATTAGGCAATGGTCTCTGTTCATGCCTGTGAGCTAAGAATCCAGAATGTACCTGGCTCCCAGGCTATGCTGTGAAATACAAAAGATGAACCTTCAGTTAAAGAGAGAGGTCTTTTTTTTCTTAATTGTTCTTAGTTTTTAAATACACGACAGCAGAGTGCATTACAATTCTTATTACACATATAGAGCACAATTTTTCATATCTTTGTATATAAAGTATGTTCACACCAATTCATGTCTTCATACATGCACTTTGGAGAGGTCTTTCCAACCCTATTTGTGCCCCTTCTCCTTTCTCTTTCCTCTCCTTTCTGTTATCCTGAACTCTCAAGTTGAATGAATTAAGTTTGTTCACACTAAGGTATGAAGCTGTTAGCAGTTGAATGCGTTCTCTCTCCCACTGGTATTTCCACTCTGAGAGAAAATAATGCCTTAACTCAAAGAATGAACTGCTTGTGTGACCCAACAGAAGAGATGAGGTTCTCAGTCACATGTTGTTCAATCTGCTAATTTAGATAATTAGCTCAGAAAGAACCTAGACCAATGGGCTTGTCAGCTTTCCCACACTGTGACAAAAATATGTAAGATAATCCACTTTAAAAGATTTATTGTGGCTTACAGTTTTCGAAGTTTCAGTCCATGGTCACTTGGATGCATTGCGTTTGAGGCTGGGGTAAGGCAGGGCACCATGGCAGGAGCAGTCAGTAAAGCAAAGCTGATCATCTCATGACAGCTGGAAAGCAAAGACAGAGAGGAAGGAGCTAAGGCCTCAATATCCCCTTCCAGGGCACAAACATTCCTCTGGCCTCCCACCCCCGCTAGGACATCTCCTAATAGCACTCAGGCTGGAAACCAAGTTTATAGCATGTGGGCCTTTGGGGGTCATTTAAGACTGATAATAACTATCAGTCCTCAAAGTGCAGCCTGCAACCCCTACTGGATCCTGAGATTATGCCAGTGGTGACTTGAGGCCAAAACTGTTTTCATAATAATACTACAATGTCTTTTGACATTCTTACTCCCATTCTCTCAAAAACTATAGAGTGGAGTTTTCCAAAAATTCATCATGGGTACTAACACAATGTATTGAAATCAGAAATAGGAAAATACACTATTAAGCCATATGCTAAGGAAATTTTTTTTAGTTGTAATTGGACACAATATCTTTAATTAATTTACTTATTTTATGTGGTGCTGAGCATCAAACCCAGGACCTTGCCAGTGCTAGGCAAGAGCTCTACCACTGAGCCACAACCCCAGCCCAGGAAATTTACAAAAATGTAAAACAATTCCTCTCTTCTCAACGTTCTCTTGGTGTTAATAAAAAAATCTAAAATAACTTTTTAATTTAACTTCAGATTAAATTAATTCAACTTTAAAATTACATTTAAAAATCAAAAGTTTGAAATATCTTCACCAAAATGTTTGGTATAGCTTAAATTAATCCACAAATATTTTTAAAATTTATCCATTTTAAATTTTAATAAAATAAACATCTATTATTTATAAATCTATAAACAGATATGAAATTTGTTTTTTCATTTAGACAATTTTATTTATTTACTTAGATCATTTAAAAACAAAATCAGTTTTTACACTATATAATAAAAAAAGTTCTGAAACCAAAAATATGAGAACCACCAAACAGCATTCTTGCTCTAACCCTGACAGTCTTCTGTGGTTTATCTGTTTAATACTACTTGGGAATCTTTAATTTACATAACATTTAGAAAAACTGCATTCATATTTAATGAGCCAGGAAGAAAGAGAGAAAAAGAAAGAAAAAGGGGAAAAATGAGACAGATAGGCGGAGACAGGAGGAAGTCAGGGAAAGACGTATGGAGAAGAATAGGGGAAAGGAAATCTAACAAAATATCCATAGGGAATGCCCCATAAGGACCACAGATTTGGTTATTTAATGTATACTGGCCTGTACACACTGTAAAAATTGCTTTGACTTTTAAGGATATAAATAAATAAATAAATAAAATGGAAAAAAATAACGTTATATTAGTTTATATATTTATAAATACTTAATAGATGTTGATTTCATTAGAATTTAAAATGGAGAAATTTTTTAATTTCAATAAAAAAACTTATTATTAAAATATCAAACAGATAGACACTGAAACCTGGCCTCATAAACCTGCTTTGTGTTTGTTTACCCAAAGAGTTGTAAATAGATTTGCCCTTAAGACATGTTTAATTTGGCCTCTCCTTTGCCTACAAAAGAGAGAGAGAGAGAGAGAGAGAGAGAGAGAGAGAGAGAATGACTTGTCAACAATTAAATTTAGAAAGTTTTTAGTACAAATCTGAATTTCTAGTTTCTCTTGGAATTTGAAAACAACTGGTAAGATAAGTTATCAAGGACCTGTAATGCAACCACCTGCTGGACCAAGGGTCCTCAATCCCTCCCAGCAGACACCCACTCAAGTTCCCAAGCCCCTGTGCTCCATCCAAGCTAAGGACACCTCACCTGCTCCTTCACTGTTACTTACCTCACCTGGCATATATCTTTCTCAAATTGACCTTTCTTCAGGTACCTTGCAAGAATGTTCTATGTGCCAAAAAAAGTTATGTTAGTTAAAAAAGTAGAAATGTCACCCAATATTACCAAACAGGAGCATCCTTTCACATATTGGTATGATATTTATTTATTTATTTACCAGCATTTTCTCTTAGACTTAGTATTAAATAGTAATGATTGTATATGATATATAATTATGATATAGAAAAATAAAGACTTTTCATATACCCATTGAGTCATTTTGTTACTTTGCATTCTAGAATAAGTATTTGCCATGTCACCCTTTTAATAAACACAGTATTAAATATATTTCAAGTAAAACATTTTAAATATATCGAACTGTCTATATTACACTACACAGACTTATCAAAAACATGGATTTGGGTCCAAACATTTGGGTTAACACCATTCTGTGAAATGGTGTTCTTATTTGAAATTCTTAGGATATTTTCAAGATTTTTTTTTGCAAAAAAAGCATTAGGGCATTTTAGATGATTATATCAAGGCAACCTTCCTAACATGCTATGGTTTTTATGCAATTAATTGATAGCTACTTAAGTAACTTTGTAGACAATCCAGAGAAAATTCTCACTTAAAAATGAGTATCAGACACTAAATGGATATTCACATTGGTTGATTGGCTTTCACCCATGGAGCAGAAGAGCAAGAAGTAGAATAAAATCACTGAGTATGTGAGAAACAGGAAAAAGCCAAGCACAACCTGGTAGGAAAAAAAATAAACAGCAATTGAAACCATTTATATCCCAGGAAAGCAAAGACAACCATATATAATATTGCTGAACAAAATGGACATATGATTAATGTGACATACATATAACCACATTTGCATTATCTTCTATCCAGAATAGAAATGCGTCACCAGAGAAAAGAGATTCTAAGATACGGAGTTTAAAAAAGAAAAAGACTTAGAATAAGAAATACCACATCAAAGTGATCCAGACTGACAGTCTGAGCCTTGTGGCCAACTTGTGTTGAACACAATGCAGCACAGCCAAAATGACTCCAGGAAAGTAAGAAGAAACGGGAAAATGAGACGGTTTGGTTATCATTTCTCTTGGAGAAACAAGGATGCATGATGTTTTATTAATAGGCACAATTCCTTTATGTAAGTAACCTGATAAAAGGTAATGGGGTGATTTCATGCTCTGTTGAAAAGAAGTGGGATAGCTTTCTACCCTAAAGCCCTCGGTGCTCTTTCAAGCACTGCATGGAGCACATTTGCTATTTCTTTACAGCAAATAACATCTTAGTGATATGAAAGAGTTGCTTTGGCTTCCTGCAGAAATGCTGTTTATGTCCACTGTGGATTTCATATGCTCCAGAGCCTGCTGGCTCATAGAATCAAACCCCACATGGTCATTGACTATCAGAGTTCTTTTATACCATTTGGTTTTAACGTGATGCACTGATTAACACAAGACAAATAGTGTACTTTCAAATGGAACTAATACCTTTCACAGTATAAAATATCCTAAGAAAAATTCTATGACACATTTTCCAAGGACTGCAAAATTTTGATTTTTTAATGGGATCTAATTATTGCAAATTTCTAGGGATATATGTGCCATCCCGTTATCGATTCACATTCAATTATCAGATCTATACTGAAGGCCTCGTATGTGCCAAACTCTGAAAGGCTCTGAGTACAAAGTAATAAATAAAACAAACAAAAGCTCTGACTTCACCAAGAAAAGTAAAGCCATGCAGAGAGACAAAGAGTTCAATTCACTGTTTTAAACCCTGGTGATCAGGGAAGGACTCAGAAGAAGGCCTTTCAGCAAGATCTAAAGAAGTAAGGGAACAATCTGCCAGGGTATCTGGGGAAGAAATGGCCCAGGCCAAGACCCAAGGAAGGTGTGTTCCCCCAAAAGTCAGAGCAGTCTGGAATCTAGAGAAGGGGATCAAGGATCAAGAAAGGGCATGGATGCAGGAGGAAGGAGCTGGAGCACACCAGAGGGTGGAGCCTTGAATGCTGTGGCAGGTTCTTTGGTTTTTATTGAGTTAGGTGGGAAACCGTCAGGTGTTTTGTACCAAAAGACTGATATTACAGGATCTGCCTTTCAAGAGAAGCCCTAGGTAAAGAATACACTACTCAGAGGTATAAACGGAAGAGGGAGACACTATTGCAATAATCTGAGCACAATTTGGACCAGGCCATAGCAGGGTGAGTAGTGAAGAGCAATCACACAATGTTTGGAAGGAGACACCACAGGATGTGTTAAAAGTTTGAAAACAGTGCATGGGAGAATAAGGGGAGAGCAAGGATTCCTCCAAGGTACATAGGATGGGGTCTGGGCTTAAACGTCCAAACCTGAAAGTCATCCCTGTATGGAGAACACTCAGAGCCAAGACGCGGTGAGATTCCTAAGGGAGGGATCCTGAAGGTGGAGGAGAAGTTAGAGGACCGAGCTCTAAGACACTGCGGTGCTCAGAGGACAACAGAGAGAAAGTGGGACCGAAGAGAAAGTGGAGTCAAAAACCAAGTTTGAAAGTACTTCAAGCAAGAAGCAATGAATGCCCCCTTGTGCCAATGCTATCAGTGATCAGAAGGAGACAAGGATGAAGAATTGGCCACGGGATTTAACAACACAGAAGTAGCAGCCTTGAAACGGGCAGTTCCTGTGAAGGGCTGGAGGCAAAAGTCAGAAGGAAGTGGGTCTGAGAGGGAAAGTGAAAAGGGAAAGTGGAGACAAGAAGTCTGAATACAGTTGCCAAATATTTCACTGTAAGGAAAGGAGAAAGGGCGTGTCTGTGAGGGTATTCCAGCTGGAGGGGAATATAGGATCAGGAAACACTGCCTAGGAGAAATGTCACTGTGGTTTTGGGTAGGATCATTGCAGTGGGGAGGTAAAAATGGATGTCACAGAAGTCAGAGTGGAGACTTGCTGGAAAGGGAATGGGATGTTGGAATTCAGTGCTCAAGTAACATGGGAGGAAAGAGCATTTAAACATTGGTACACGTAGGGGGTGATCAGCAAGTAGATGTTTACAGACACCATCGTCTTGTGACTCCTGGTTGGAGTTTGGACTTGTTCAGTGAAATCTGCCCGAAGGTCAGCAACTGGGAGCAAGACATGGAGAGGAAATGTTGGAGGCTTAAGAAAAGGAAGAGTATAAAGTAACCTTCCAGAGACACGAATGGGCTACAGGGAGGAATGGAATGGCAGGGTACATACCGAGGCTACTAGGGGTTAGTGGCAGAGCCAGCTTCATTGACGTGTGAGCTTGTTGAGTCACGTGTTGAGTCATATTAATTTCTTTTTTGCAATTATGCTATCACTTATGTATTGCTGTTACTTGTACTGGGGTTTATAAGCCAAAACGTACCTCTAAAATGAAAAAGGTTTACACTTTACTGCATTTAATGGTAGCTTTTTCCCATCTTTTGAACAAAGAGCCTCACATTTTCACTGGGCCCTGAAAGTTTTGTAGTCAGTCCCGGCCAGCTGAACAGAAAAGGAAAATAATCAGCATGGATGTGGGGTTTTTCCCAACCACATCCAACTGGAAAAGGTTTAAGCTATAGTTGCACCAGGTAAGTACCAGGAGGTGAGAGAGGGACAGGTTTGTTGCAAATGAATGAAAATAATGACACTTCAGATTGCTCAAGAGTGAATAGACTCCATCTTGCTCTAACTTAGGACTAAATAAAGACATCAGTGTATGTTATACATGTCATATAATACCTCAGAGAATGTCCATTCTCCAGCGCTTTTGCACAGGACTCAAGAGTGTCTGGATCCTGAAATTTTATTCATGGATGCTGGTAACACAAAGACTTCCTATCAGTCACTAATCGCTTTCAGAAGATCCAACACCTGAGGTAATGAGGAAATCACCTTGGATGAGTAAATATGTCAATTCAAATATTCTTCTTCAGCTACCGAAATTCCGTACCATGTGCATGCTCACCCCTTTACAAATTTCCATACTCCTTCCACACGTTTGCCTTCTTTATGTGACTATGTTAACAACCAATCATTTTCTAATCCATCAATAATTATGCTAATTACCGTATGGGATAGTTAATATAATGTGTCAACACAACTGAGGCCCAGGATGCCCAAATATTTGGCTAAAACTATTCATGCCATGTCTCTGTGAGTATTTCAAGATGAAATTAACATTTGAATTAAGTGACTAACTAAAGCAGATTGCTCTCTCTACTGTGGGTGGGTCGCATTCAATCATTTAAAGGCCTAAATAGAGGAAAAGAGTAGACTCTCTTGTCAAAGAGGGAACTCCTATGTGAGTACTCAAGCTAGAACACCCTTGGTCTTTTCCTGGCTTCAGACTCAAATTGAAACACCACTTCTTCTTGGATCTTGAGTCCACTGACTTTCAGACTGTGATTATACCATCACCTTTCCAGATTCTTAGACTTCAGATTCCGATGAAAATTACACCATCATCTCTCCATGTCTCCAGCTTCCGACTGCAGAGCTTCAGACTTCTCAGCCCCAATAGTTGTTGTGAGCTAATTCCTTAGAATAGCTTTCTTTCTATGTATACTCTCCTCACTGCTGAAATAATTCGAACATCTGCGGTGCTGATAGCTGTACAAGGTCATTGTCATGCTTTCCTATTGAACAAATAGGTAAAAAACACATGGCTCTATGAAACACTTTCACAATTTGATTAACTTTTGTAATCTTTAAATATTCCTTTGAAGCTGGTATTATCATGTCAATGTTTAACATGAAGCTTGGAGAGGTTATGTAACTTAATCAAGTTGATGTGGTTAAGTATAGAAGAATGGACATGAGCTTTGTAATTATCTCTTTGCCTTCCTTCTTTTGTATATTACCTAAACTCTCTGAGATTGAAACTTGTCATCTACTCAATCTGGATAACACTGCCTATCACAGTTGCTCATTGCAGCAATTTTTGCAATCACGTATATTCACATGCCTAATATTTATTGGGTCTTCAAGCAATATATTTTTCTTTTCTCCTTTTCCTCTCCCCTCTAGGATCTTAACTCCCTGTCTTATAAAAGACTGTAAATCACATGGA